TGACACTGCGAGCCTTATTAGATCAGGGCTCACAGGCTTCATTTATTACGGAGTCTGCAGTCCAGTTGCTGGGGCTAAAGAAAATCAAAAGCAACAGTGTCATATCTGGAGTTGGAGGTGACGGCAATGCCCCACTGGATTCCAAGTATGTAGTTCAGATTAATCTGCAATCAATTCAAGATGAATCATTTACTATTTGTGTAACAGCTCATGTTCTTAAAAAACTAACTTCATTCCTCCCTGTAAAAGAATTCGTTGTCCATCTGTGGCCAAATCTACCAAGGATGAAGTTAGCAGATCCAAATTTCAACAAACCAAGTAATATTGATATGTTGCTTGGTGCTGATGTCTATTGTCAAATCATAGCTGAGGGTCTAATGAGAGGACCACCAGGAACACCAATAGCTCAGAACACTAGGCTAGGTTGGATCTTATCTGGAAAAATCGAGAACGATCATCACGACCAATATGGTTTGGGTTGCGAAAACATATTAACAATGTACACTCAAATAAACAATGATGATTTTAACCTTAAACAATTTTGGGAACTTGAGTCTGATAACTTTAACCTTAAAAGAACTCACCTCACTCATGAAGAACAAAGATGTGAAGACATCTATAAAGAAACCACGAAGCGAGATCCATCGGGAAGTTATATCGTTAAACTCCCATTCAGAGATGTCGATCCGAGCTGCAAATATGGTAATTCACGTGAGATAGCAATTAAACGATTCTTAATGTTAGAAAAGCGTTTATTGAAATCACCAGATTTAAAGAAATCATATACAGATGTAATATCAGAGTATTTGAAGTTGGGACATATGGAGTTAGTACCTATAGAAGAAATTGACAAAAAAGAAACGGTTTACTTACCTCATCACGCGGTCGTTAGAGCTGATAAATCGACGACTAAGCTCAGAGTTGTTTTCGATGCATCCTGTCGAGACCAGAACGGTGTATCACTGAATAGTGATTTGATGGTCGGACCGGCGCTACAGCCTGACTTACGTCACATTGTTTTAAGATGGAGGCTACATCCTATTTGTCTGGTTTCCGACATAATCAAAATGTACCGTCAAGTGAGGGTAACAAGAGAAGATGTATGTAGATGTGTGATGTAGACTATCAACGTTTAGTGTGGCGCACAGACACTACAGAAGATTTACAGCATCTTCGCCTTTTACGTGTCATTTTTGGTACTGCGTCTGCTCCTTACCTTGCAGTTCGAACTTTGCAGAAGGTAACACCAATCAAACAAGTTTGTATTCCAAGGCTCGAACTGTGTGGAGCTGTTTTACTGGCCAAGTTGTTACAAGAAGTCGTAGAAGTTCTGCACGCACCAAAGGATAAACTTCACGCTTGGACTGATTCCACGGTTGTGCTAGCTTGGTTAAGTAGCCATCCCAGTCGATGGAAAACTTTCATCGCTAATCGTGTTTCGGAGATTTTAGACATTTTAGACGCAACTCAGTGGTCACATGTTTCATCTACCGACAATCCAGCAGATTGTGCCTCTCGGGGAGTGACACCATCAGCTTTAGTAAACATGGAAATGTGGAGAACTGGTTCCCCCTGGCTACAAAATAAAGTTATCAATTACGAAAGGAAACCCATACCAGACACTAATTTAGAAGAAAAAAGCAAGAAAAGTTACCATATAGTAGAAGAGATAGAATTGAAATTGTGGACCAAATATTCATCAATAACGAAACTTTTACGAGTCCTAGCTTATTGTAACAGATTTATCAAAAAGTTAAGAAAATTAACAAATGAATATCCTACTTGGTTAACTAGTCGAGAATTAAATGAAGCTTTACTTACCTGTATTAAACAATGTCAATGGAAATATTTTTCACAAGAAATAAGCGATTTAAAGTTGAAGGGAACAGTAAATAAGAAGAGTAAACTTACCACATTGAATCCGTTTCTTGACAAAGATGATATTTTGAGAGTTGGTGGCCGGCTTGACAGATCTAACATTGGTGACAACTTAAAGCACCCGTTGATATTGCCTTCTAAATCACACCTCACCAATCTCATAATCACGGAGGCCCATGAAAGAACACTGCATGGTGGACCTCAATTAACACTGAACTATCTACGTTCCAAATACTGGGTTATTGACGCCAAAAATCGTACAAAGATGTTTGTTCGTAACTGTGTAACATGCGCACGTCATGCTGCACAAACTAGGACTCAGCTAATGGGCCACTTACCTCCGGTACGAGTTACACCAATTCGTGCATTTTACCAAAGTGGTGTAGACTACGCTGGTCCTATCCAGATTCGAACAACTAAGGGAAGAGGACACCGAGCTTACAAAGGCTACATTTGTTTGTTCGTTTGTATGGCTACGAAGGCGATACATCTCGAAGCCGTTAGTGATCTTACATCGCAAGGATTTCTATCTGCTTTCAAGCGTTTTGTTGCTCGACGCGGTCATTGCGCAGAACTCTTTAGCGACAATGGGACCAACTTTGTGGGAGCTGCGCGAGAACTAAGATCTTTGTTTGCTGCAGAAAGGTCAAACTTGACGATGGAAATCGTTAAGAGTTTGGCAGACAATGGAACGGAATGGCATTTTATCCCACCCCACGCTCCACACTTTGGCGGACTATGGGAGAGTGGAATAAGAGCTACAAAGCACCATCTCAGACGCGTCATAGGCAGCGCAACCCTAACCTACGAAGAGATCACTACCTTGTTGCACCAGATAGAAGCTTGTCTTAATTCGAGACCCTTGTCTCAACTTAGTAGCGATCCTCAGGATCCGACTCCTCTTACCCCTGGACATTTCTTAGTCGGCGAACCGCTTCTGTTAGTACCCGATAAGAATTATGAAAATTCTTCCATTTCAAATCTCAATCGCTGGCAAATAATTCAAAAAATGCTTCAAGTGTTCTGGCGAAGATGGTCACACGAATATTTGACACAATTCTTGCACCGGTATAAGTGGGCTAACGTTACGCTAGAACCAAAAATTGGTGATGTAGCATTAATCAAGGAGGACGATATGCTTTCAGCGAGATGGTTGTTGGGAGTAATCACTGAGAAGCATACGGGTTTGGATGGACTCACGAGAGTTGTTAGTTTGAAGGTCAGAGGTGTCATAATAAAACGCCCAATTACCAAAATATGTATTTTACCTGTAGCGGTCTGAAATAATTTGGAGTTTATTTTACCTTTGTCACATGTAGTACGAACTTTTGTTTTTGTTATTTTTAATTTGAACCTTTTTTCGTTGTTAACTTCATTATCAATACCGAGAGTTGTCTTTGAATTTTTTTTTAAATTGTGATTTATATGTATAGTAACGCAATACAAACGTGTAATCTAGTGTTAGTACGACAACATCTCCTATCATATTTGAATTGATTTTCATTTTTAAGAATCACTGTATCTTAAAAGATTCATCTATCTTTTTGTTAAGTTGATATATTTTTGTTAGAAATTTGATCACAACCACTGCACTAAGCTAATGTATTGTTTTTTTTTTTTTTGTATGTTTTGTTTAGTTTTAGTTTAATCCTGATCACTATGACTTAACCTCACATTCTATGCACCATTCGCTTAATACAGTCCACTTGTCTAACAAGTTATTTCATAGTGTGTAGGAAGATGAACATACTGTCCATGGTGGGCGGCATGTCCAAACGTAATGATATGTACATAAATATTGTATTTAGTTGTGAAATTCACCAACGGATGGCGCTGTGCGATTTCTGCATTATGCTGAATCGCGCTATCGTTGTATGTGGTTTTTAGTATAAGGTTTAAGATATTTTTTGAATAAATTGTCTTCGTCCTGGAATCGTCGAGTTTTGTTCACCCTCAATATTCTGTCCATGTTGACAGAATCGAACGAATTAACCGCCATTTCTCCAAACATCTATGCCGATTAAATAATAACATTAGCTATAAATGCGAGTATGAAAAAAGACTAGCTTTCTTTCACTTACAATCACTCCGCGATAGACGCCGCCTTATCGACATTATATTTGTTTTTAAAATTTTAAATAACTTGGAAGATTTACCTAATGTTTTAAGTCAAGTTAACTTCCTCTTAAAGAGGAACACAAGAAAAACTTCAATCCTTTTTTACGTGCGGGCAGTGAGGACTAACGTCGGTTGTAATGCTCCTCTACACAGCTCTCTATCGACATTAAACGACGCTCTGAGTACATGCCAAGCAGATCCATTTAGTGACAGTCTCCATGTCTTCAGGCGTAAGATGCTGCAGCCAATGTTGATCCGTGACCAATAGTGATAATTGCAAAGTTGAAAATTATTGTTTTTTATTTATATGTATTTGTAAATTGAATGATTGTATTTTTTTTTTTTAATCTAGTTTGTTTTTTACTTTTAATGTTGAAGTTATTTTCTCTTCATCATTGTAATGTTTCCCTATAAATGTTGTGCACACTTGTTATTGATGCACATGCATGTATTTTGTTTTCTATGTTATGTGTTCTCTGTAAGTGTTTGTATGTGTTTCGTTAGTGTGCCTTTTGAAATAAAATATAAAAATAAAATATATTCTTTTACCATTTAATTAAAATTATATACATATATATTAGTTTAGTTGTTTTTATTTATATATATATATATAAACTCTTCTAATCAGTGGTTTAAGACCAACAATAAATAGATAACAATGAATTTATGTAGATATATTGTTATTTTAAATAAAGTTATAGCATTCTCTCTCTCTCTCTCTTCAGTCGGTAACTAAGCGTCGTGGTCAGCAAGGTAACATTTGGAGCGGAAAATCTGTTTCCACCGGTTTCTGTCCAGCGCCTCACTAATGACAGTGTACAGTTTTGAGGACGATGAATCATTCACTTGATCAGTACACCTGCTTGGTTCAGGATCGATGTATTGGCGCGCTAATGTTGCTATATAACAACAAAAAAATTACAATAATAATAATAATAAAATATAAACAATATTATAAAATAATAAACAAAAGAAACTGCACACACATTCATTAATTTATTTATTTACATTACATAATATGTACACATCATAAAATGAAAACTAACTCTCAACGCTCTACGCGAAACGTTCGGCGGTCGCGCGCCACGCCCGCTCCAATGCCGACGTGGACTATTGCAATCCACGTCCTTCTCCGATGAAACAGCAACGACTTTCGCGAGGTTCCTCCTATATTCATTCTCCCTTCGCCATTGGTCTCTCAATACTGAGAGAACAACTGGTCCAATCAACCATGCCACACTCCATTGCATGTATCCCACGAGGTATACTGCTCCCACTATTGATACAGCATACATGGACAATTAAAGAGATACCTTACTGCCATTAGGAGTTGTTTACATCAATTAAACTTGGTGGTAATACAATGTAGGAAATTTAAAATGATAATTATTCAATGGCGCTACAACCCTTTATGGGTTTTGGCCCGTGAGATACAGAGTATATAGTAGTAAGTATGACGTGTGTTTAAAAAAATAAATAATTTTTCTCATTATCTATTTTCAGGTTTGTGCTCTGTGAAACGTCAAAATTAAAAATTCAAGGAGCTTCGCAAGATTACTGGACCTAGAGACAAGCTACAGTGTCATCTGTCAGAGGTGAGATAACTATGAACAGACAGAGTCATGTTGTTTATTATAACCTTTTTTAATTTTCAATAACAAAACATGGCAAACATATACAGTATATGCCGCCAAGTTACACAGAGTATTTAAATCAATGTTAATTGTTAATGGCTGTAATATTACTTAAATGTAATAATAATTAGAGTACAGTACGCATATAAATTGTATGTGTTTAATTTATATTACTAAACATATTTCAATAATAATAAAATACTAATGACGTTCCAAAGAAATTGCTAAATAACAAACTAATAATTGTGTAAAAAGCAGTCATTCATATACATCATATATCATAGTCAAGTTGGTCACTTATACAGGTGGTAAGTAACTTCATAACTTATACAGTTGGTTTTTATGAGAAAAATATAATAGATTTTACACACACTAGCATCACGTCTCGATATAATAAAACTCGTAAGACTATTTATAGGTTATTTCCCACTAACCCACCAAGCTTCACTTCACTTCACTTTATTTATAATAGCGACTTCTGTGTAAATCACAATTCCGCCAATGTCGCGTTCTAAGTCTTCACACGGTGAGGATAGATTTAAATTTTGATAGATTGAAATTGAAAAATTGATTAAGCAGAGTTACCCAAAACAAAAATGACGTCACAATAAAGACAACATACACAGACATCTAATAATATATACAAGAGGTTAACATGATACTACAAAGTAAAATTATAAATTATAAATTATAAATAAGATTCTCCCCTCCAGGGAGAATCTTATTTATAATTTTAATTTATTAACAGCAATAAATTTCCCTAAAATTTTGACGGTAGGGCTGGATGGGAGGGAAAGTAGGGAGTTAAGGTTACATGGACGAGGGAAATTTGGAGAAAGATGGTCAAATAACGAGTCATTAATTAAAGAACAGTTAAAAAATATATGGTCTGACGAGCCCTCGTCCATACCACACTCGCAGGGAGAACTGTCTTTAATTTTAATTTTGGCTAGATGAACGGGAGTACAAGCGTGCCCTATACGAAGACGGCAGATTATAGACGTGACCTTTTTGTTTAAAAACTTATATTTAAAAAACCACGGCGAAGAAGGGATTGAATACTGAACATTAGCATAGTGCCTGCCAGTTTTTTCTTTAGAAGATTGCCAATGACTATTGTCCAGGATTTTTAAAGGTGGGAGTACGCTGATAGGTCGTGGACCGAGATGCTAGGATGCTGACAAGATCCGTAGAAAATAGCACGTTTTGCACAAGAGTCAGCAGTTTCATTACCCGCTATACCACAATGACTAGGTATCCACATAAGTACAATATGAATATCTTTTTTACTACACCTAAACATACATACTCTCTGGTGCTAGTCGGAAACAGACGTGTTACGTGTTGTGATTAAAAAGTTCGAAATTTTAACTAAATTTCTACACTCAAAAGTGAACCTTACCAATCAGTCTTAAAGTCGTATCAGTTAAAAAGTGATTAATCAGTTAAAGACCTTGTGTAGCTGTGAGACTTACGTGCCTGCGAGTGCGCAGCACCGCGCACCCCGCGAGTAAAAAGAACCGCTGCTATTTTTCGTCGCACTCTCGCATCGCAACACACCTCGCTACGGCGACACAATGAACCGGCAGAAAACGTCGCCTCGTACCATGCTGATAAGCGGTAGCGAGAGCGCTGGCGGATCAGTACCAAACTTATCCACTTTGGGTGATAATGAATTTCAAGAAAACATCACTCAGAGAAAACGCAAGGAGCGACCTGAAGTAACCGATTACAAAGAGGATTTCTCAAGCTTCCGTAACGAGATGATGACGTTCTTGCAAGAATTCGGCAAAACCCAAAATGAAAATATAAATCATATACGAGAAGAAATGTCAGAGATTAAAAAAGAAATAAAAACCATAAAATCAGCCACAGAAAACTTTTCGAAACAATTTGAACAAATGAAAAATGAAATTGAAAACATTAAATCCAACAACAACAAAACTCAAGACAAAATTAATATAATAGAAAAGGAAATATCTCATATTAAAGGTCAACAAAACACAGATGAAAGTTCAACAACCAAATCGCCACTCTTATGTAATGAGAACCTTATACTTGAGCTCAAAGACCGATGTGACCGTGAGAAAAATGTAATTATCGTGGGTATATCGGAAACAAACGACAAAAACCCCAACACAAGACGGAGCTACGATAAAGAAGAAGTCATGAAATTAATGAGGTCATTATATGACGACTGTCCAACACCAATTAAAACTATTAGACTAGGAAAATATGTACCTAACAAGAACCGGCCGATAAAATATTACTTTAACACTACAGATACCGCAAGACACCTTTTACGGAATAAGAAAAAAATGCCTGAGAATATGCATATTTACGCAGATCAGACCCCAACACAAATTAAGTATTTACAACAAGTAAAGGAAGAGTTAAATACACGATTAGAAAAAGGTGAAAAAGATCTTGTTATCAAATATATAAAAGGATTGCCCACAATCATTGTAAACAAAACAAACCAAAAAAAACCTATAAACGTCTCGATACAAAAGGCAAAATATACGAGTAGATTATGTCACCAAATTGTACAAAAATACGAAGACATTCCAGTGCACCCATCCTCACTAAGATTCTTTTATGCGAACTTGCGTAGTATCCGAAAACCCGGCAAATTCGACGAAATAAAATGCATATTAAAATCGATTCCGGCAACTACCCACGTAATTGTATTTACTGAGACATGGATTAGATCGGAGAGTGACGCTAAATTGTACCAATTGCCAGGTTACAAACATATCTATAACTATAGATCGACGCGTAAAGGCGGTGGCGTTTCGATTTACGTACTCGATAGCATACAATACGATTTGACGGAAGAATTATACGAAGATGAAAACCATTATTTATGGATACACATAGATAAACTATCTTTAAACATCGGCGCGATATATAAACCTGGAGCAACTAATGTAGACAACTTTTTAGAGATCTATTCCTCACAATTAGAGCGAAGAAATCGAACCATCGTATTCGGAGATATTAATCTCGACCTACTTAAAACGGACAACGATGCGACTCACTACATAAATGAAGTTAAAGAAAATGGATACGAAATATTGAATAAAATAGATAGTTTATACGGCACTCGCCAAACCAGTTCGACAAATACTATACTGGATCATATAAGCACAAACATAAGTAATCACACATTTAGTATATCATTAATTGAATCGAGTATGTCCGATCATAAACATATGTTCCTGGAAATAGGCAAACTGGCACCACAAATGAATAAAAAAATACAATATAAAGCTCCGGATTACGACAAATTATATAATAGTGCCGTTATAGCTAACTACATAAATGACCACAATGACTATTACTACTTAGAGAAATTTATTTTGGAACAGATCAATGTGAATAAACAAGAGAAAACAAAAGTTTTGAACAAGCCTCAGGAAGACTGGATAAACAGAGACATCATAAATTCAATAAATTTACGTAACAGTTTGTGGCAACAAACTAAACATCACCCGGACGACATTAATCTACGCAAAAAATTCTATGAAGAACGAAACAGAGTGAAAGCCCTTATCAATAAACATAAGAAAAAATATTATTACAACCTATTTCATAACAACTTCAATCAGCCTAAAAAAATGTGGGAGATTATTAATAGCTTAGCATTGAACAGAGTAAAGGACAAAAGTGCCCCTCCAAAATTAATGTCGAACTCGGGCCCCATCACCGAAGGTAACCTGATATGTGATTTATTTAATTCATTCTTTTCATCAATTGGCGCGAATTTGGCTAACAAAATACCTAACAAGTATCACGTAAACACTGGTAATATTCTGATGTACGAACCTAGCTATACACACGACATAACGTTAGATAAACTCTCGCCGTGCGATACGCGCGAAATCTCAAAAATTATCGACGATCTCGACAGCAACACCAGCACCGGTTTGGATGGTATTAGCACCAAATCTATAAAATGCCTAAAAAATGTTATTGTTGAGAGGTTAACAAATTGTATAAATGTTTGTTTACAGAAAGGTATCTTCCCCGACACACTAAAGGTTGCTAAGATCAGTCCTATACACAAATCAGGATGTAGAACTGATCCTAGCAATTATAGGCCTGTGTCGGTCCTATCTGTTTTATCAAAAATTTTTGAACGGGTTTTATATACCCGCCTGAACAATTATCTAAGCGAAAAACATTTCTTGATCGAACAACAATATGGCTTTCGTGCTAATTCATGTACTCTTACGGCAGCGACTGATTTAATCACAAAAATCAAAACAAATATTGACCAAAAAAATATTGTACTAGGTATTTTTATTGATATGAAAAAAGCATTCGACACTGTGAGTCATCAAAAGCTTTTACAAAAATTAAACAATGCTGGTGTCACAGGCACAGCATTGGATATGTTTACATCCTATTTACTAAATAGGTATCCGGTTGTGAAAATAGGAAATTTCAGGTCTTCAATCCAAAACGTGCCATATGGTTGCCCTCAAGGCTCCATAATAAGTCCCTTGCTATTCTTAATTTATATTAATAACATTAACAAAATAGGGCTCACAGGTCATCTAACATTGTACGCAGACGATACTTGCCTATTTTATTTCGGCGAATCGATTAGTGATTTAATAAATAATTCTCAGAAGGACTTACAGCTACTCAGCGAA